ATCATGATTAATTGTTTTCACCTTTGTGTGAGTGTGTCTGTATCTGTATGTTTCAACCTAAGCTCTTTTGACTACATAATTTAAATTCTTAATTTGAGGATCCCCTAAGTGATTTTGTTTATACTTACCTCAAAGTTTAGATTTTCCTTAAACTACCAAAAATTCTCCACATAAGGAAGCTGGAGAAGCAGCAACTGTCAGCCAGAAGAACCCTAGAGCCATGCCACTCCATGTGCAGTCCATGGATCTGCGTCACATTCCTGGGAGCGTGTTAGAAATGCCGGATCTCAGGCCTTCCCCAAGACGCAGCAAATCAGAGGCTGCAGTTTATCTGGATCCCTCTGTTGATTTGCCCACTGACGTTTGAAAAGAATCTGAGGCGTCAGGTCATTTTTTAAAAACATCAATTGAGTGATTAAATGGCTTTTTATTTAGTTAGTTATTCAACTACATTTACTGAGAGTGACCCATGGCCCAAACCTTATGCCAGGTGGTGGGAATATAAAGATAAATTGTGATTGGGCTCCACTCCTTAGAAGCTTCAGTTCTAACCAGGAGAGAGTGACCCTAAACAGTAAATGCAATCAGGTATTAAAGAGGCTATGATAGAACTGTGTAAGAGCACAAAGGGCTACTATCTAAATCCCTCAAATGGGTATAGGTTTACATGGATATTTGGATGAAAAAGAAAGAGAATTATGCTTTGTTTTTTAATTAATTAATTAGTTAGTTTATTTATTTATTTTTTAACCATAGAAAATGAATCCAGACTTTATTGATGATCTGAGTTTAATTACTCCCTTATGTTTTTCACTACAATTATGCACAAACAGTAACATCACCTTCTTTGCTGGTAAATTCTTGTTATTTTTTCCTTCTCATAGAAGCCCTTATGTCAGGAAAGGATAAACAAGCTCTGCCTTCAGGTAGACGCTGTGCATATATTCCCTACTCATGTTGCTAGGATAAGTATAGTGGTGATAACTCAGCTGCTGCCAGGTAGCCACATCTGCTTCTCAATGCCACCTTATGCTAGAAGGGGGTACCTTGGGAAAACTCCTTGGGAGTTTTTCTTCACTCTCTTTTCAAGTTAGGAATATACGTAACAGGCTATTTTCTGAAGTAAATTGGCATAAAGTAGTGTTTGGGAATCTGGCATGTAATACTTTATTTGACCACTCACCCTTTAACTGCCTCATGGTGCTACCTCTGACGCAAAACAAAAGGCCTTTGAATCCTAGCTGAATGATTTGGAACAAATTAAGTGAGATCTTCGTAGCTTCTCTCCAAGGCAGAGTGAGGATCCATTTCCAGCTCTGTATTTTATTACCTGTGTAACTTTGAGTAAGCCCTGTTACCTGGGGACTGAGGGATGAATGTATTCCACATGTTGGTAGGCTTTGGATGGTGAGGAAAGGGCAAGGTGGGAGCCAGGTTTGTAGGCATGTGTCTGTGGCCACTCCCCTTCTTCTAACACCAGATGTTTCCATCTTAGATTTTCTGTACCACCGCGCTGCCCCAATTGTCTGATGGTGTGTTCTTTTTTGGCTGCCTGCTTGCTTTATTCAATGCCCCTGTAATTCACATGGTCTGAGAGTTGCGTTGGGATTTCCCTGGCGAGCAGAGAGGACAGGACATGCCATGATGTGAAGCTCTGCAGCTCAGACTTGCTAGTTGGAAGGCACTGCAGCTGAAAAGCTCAGATGCTTTTCTCAAGGAGGGTCACCACCTAGCCATCTAAGCCAGATGCTCTTTGACTGTTTTAAAAATTCTAGAATGGAAAGGATCTCCTCCCCACGTCCCCTACCCCTGCCACACACGCACGCATATTTTGTACCTTCCATTTTGCCATCTTCCTTAAAAATTGAAGTTTTGCCTTCTCTCTTAAGCTGAACTTATTTTTACTCCAACTTATTAACATTTTTCTTTTTTTTCTTGCCTATTAAAATGGTGAGCTATAGTGTGAGTTCTCACAATAGTTCTTAGTCTGGTTTACGACAGTTGTTAAGAGTTTTTCATTCCAACTATCTTAAGTCATTATGCTTTCCTCTAAAGTTCCCATTTTCTGTCCTTTATCGTGTGTGTGTCTGTTTTTTAGACATTTACCCATTCCTCCACATCATTTTAAAGTGTGAACTCCACTCAAAAGAATGCAGCAGGTATCCTATGATGGTTGAGCTTGAAAAATGGAAAACTTTGGTCTAACTTCATAACTGATGAAAATAAAGCAGATAATTATTATGAGGTTATCATTACAACATTTAAAAATCTGCCTAATCTTACCTAGAATATATAATCTTACCTAGAATTTATATTCATGTTGTTTTCAAGTTATTTCTTTAAAAAAATACATTCCATTTTCCTTTTCTATTCCTTTTCACTCTCCTAGGATTGTCGTCAACCTGTGCCTCACTATGTTTAATTTTTATTACACAAATAGAGTCAAGAAGAATATCATTGGAAGGGACCTCAAAGACAGGCAGTGTACTTTTTAGTCTAAAACTAATTTGCTGTGAGAATTTGGACTATTCTTGTGGCTTTTGGGGACTCCTGTTTTTGCCTTTATAATATGATGTCTAAGATTTCATTCGGTTCGGATACTGTTTAATGCCCTGACAATTCTCTAAGACATAACAGAATCTGATGAAGTATAAGGTGCTCACAAATCCTCATTTATATTGGGTATGAAGATGACATAGGTCCAGATATAACATTTCAACCTGAAAACTAGGCTGTGCACTAGAATTTGTTAGGTCTCCATCAACCTGGACCTCGTTTACTGATCACTTGAGATCTTCTTGTGAGCATTCTTCTCCTACGCTATGACTTGTAAAGGCAGAAAAGAAACTGGGTGACAGTTTTTTTTAGTAACAGATGTTAAATATTTTTTAGTGCAGTATTTGACCAAATGAAGGCCAAATGAGTTGCTCAATTGTGGCTGCGCATTAGAATTACCTGGGTTTTAAAGGAATACTGGCATCTGACTCCTCCTCTCACTCCCTTTCCATCATCCCAAGATCCTGACTAAATTGGTTTGAGATGAAGTTTGGCATCAGCATTTTTAGATAAGCTTCCTTGGTGATTATAATATGTAGACAATGCTTAGAACTATTGGGTAAAGTTGATAAAGGTTTATGGGACTTATAATCCTAATAGGGATATGGACAAAATATGTCTCCAGATGTGCATACCCAGAGGGTAAGAGAAGTACAAATGTTTCTATATGACATAAATAATTGACCCTTTCTAATCGTATGGGGTCTAAAATAGGTATGATACAGTACTTTGCTTAATGCAGTGGTTCTCAAAGTGTGGTGCCAGGACCAATAGTGTCAACATCACCTGGGAATTTATTGGAAATGCAAATTATCGGTCTCCCCCCAGACCTACTGAATCGGGAGCTTTGGGGTAAGACCCAGCAATCTGTGTTGCAAAGACCTTCCTGAGATCCTGATGAACTCTAAAGTTTGAGAACCATCAGCACAGAGAGTTGTTGTAGGAATAAGAGGTAGCCTATGAACGATCTAAGCACAGTGCCTGGTGCATTGTTAGAGTCCCAAAAGCAGAGTACTCTACAGATAATGTTTGCTTGGTGGTGTGAATATGGCTGGGAGCTGTACTTGACAGCCATTAGCTATGATTCCAGTTCTAAGACTGTTATTTGTAAGGCAAATGGAGCCCAATGAACCATCTCAAAGGTGTATCAGAACAACCAGTCCAGCTCAGCATCCTTGCACTGTGCAATGTAGACTCTTCTTTTTCTGAAGACCTAAGTTGTGATGTTTTGGTCCTATCCGAAAGCAATTCATTGAGTGACAGAGACTCTTTCCCTACCAGTAAGTGTCAAACAGCTGAAATACAAGGAAAATTTACTTATCCTCTATTTATAGAGAACATTTCCTCAACGTATCTAAAATATTTTTAAAAGGAGAAGGACAAATAGAGAAAAGTTTAAAAAAAATGGGAGTTTCCTTTTCCTACTAGAATTTCTTACAGAGAGTATTGAAAAAGTTTCCATACCATACCCCTTAGAGCTCTTGGATAAATGTCTACACCTCAGGTCTCAGGGACGAGGTGTGCTCTCCCAACAACTCTAACTTCAGTGGTGCTGCTCTTGATGGTCAGCGATGCCTGGGGTTCTTGATATCCTAAACCCTCATTACTTCCTGCCTGGATTGTATATATATTTCCAAACCAGATGTTTCTTACTCAAGTTTCTCCTAATCTGTCCTGCATGTACTTTTAGATCAGTCTTTAGTAAATCATATGGCATCTAAGTGTTCCCTTCTCAGAAATGCTTGGTGGATCCCCACTGCACACATGATAAAATTCAAACTCTTTGCTAGATACGCGACACACTTAAAAGGTGATTTTCATCACTGCTCTAACTTTTATAACCCATTAGTGTTATTATACATTCCTATATTATGCTATATTGTAAGTTGTTCTTTATTCTGTATGCTTTTATTCCCCTGTTTTTCTGCCTACAGTAGACTTACTGTCTACATCATAATGTTCGGGGGCCATTTAAGTGCTTTAATAAGGCCTTCCTTGTTCCTCCACCTGGACATGAGCTTTCCTTTATCCTTACTTTCAGAAGAGTTTGTTTGTCCATCTTAATAAATCGTGTCTTGTACTATCCTTACTTGTGTACACAGTTTATTCCTCCTCAAGTTGATTGCAACTTTACTGAAGGCAAGCACCAAGTCTTTATATTTCATTTAATCCACCACCCCAGGCACTTCCCTTGTCTAGCTAAATGTATCCAATCCCTCTAGACTATTTTATGTCACTTCTAAATAAAATCTGGTCTTCATTTTTCTGAAAGTTAATGCGACTAATTAAACTGAGCAGAACTAAGATAGGGAATGACTGCTGTGCTAGACAAAAAATTGTTGAAGCCAATTACAAAGCACTAAAATGCCAGGAAATCTGTATTTTTTAGGAGTGCTGTAACATTGCATCCATATTAACTGCATGTGTGTATTTCCTCTCTGTAGGTGATTTTCTCCCACCCCCACCTCCACCTCTAGAAGATCCCGGTGTTCTTCCATCTGGCTCTGGAAACTTCCCTCCTCCACCACCCCTCGATGAAGGTGCTTTCAGGGCACAGGTAAGCCCTGTGGTTGAAGTCATGTTTATAAGCCATGAGAGGGAGCTCATGAATTCTGCTGTTATTTCTGTAGTGGATAAACATTTATCCAGAGCCTAAAGAAAGCTTTACAACTCACAAAGAACTAAGGTTCTTTAATGCAAAATGCCCAACCCAAGCTTCTCAAAGTTCTGCTGGCTTGCACTCTGAAGCCCTAGAAATCCTTGTACCTACTAATTTTTTTGAAATTGAAATCCATTTTTTAGGAATACCATTTGAGAAGTCCACATTTTTTGGTTGTCCTGGGGACACACAACCATGCTTTCTTATTGCCTTTTTTCTCTATCCACAAACATTGAGTTCTACATTAGTAGGGTTGATATTTTCAGGCTCTGGTTGGTCACTGTAGGTCCTAATTTGTAACCAACATCTTTCTAGCAAAAACAACAACAGACATCCTTAGGGTTTGCTCTTCTGGGTGAGGTCAAGGAAGCATATTATAGTGTGTATGGTTACATACAACTATTGTGCTCCTGAGAGTGTTGACTGCAAAGTAGGTCAGGGCTGAGGTCAGAAGCAATGATAGAAGCAGTTCTCAGGGGCCTTCCTGGTGGCGCAGCGGTTAAGTTCCCATGTTCCGCTTTGGTGGTCTGCGGTTGGCTGGTTTGGATCCCAAGTGCAGACATGGCACTGCTTGGCAAGCCATGCTGTGGTAGGCGTCCCACATATAAAGTAGAGCAAGATGGGCACGGATGTTAGCTCAGGGCCAGTCTTCCTCAGCATAAAGAGGAGGATTAGCGGCAGATGTTAGCTTAGGGCTAATCTTCCTCTAAAAACAAAAAAGAAGTAGTTCTCAGCCTGTGATCCTGTTGGGGCGCTGGTGACCAGCTGATACCATTTAGGCAGCTAAATGCCATTCATGTCAGGAAGGAACACTAGATAACAAAGTCATAGAATTATTGTTATTGGAGTGAAAATGTTACTATAGATATGTTGAGAAAAAAAATAGTCCTTATCTTTTAGAGAAACATCATAAATATTTGTGGATGAAATGGAATGGTGTCTGGTATTTGCTTGAAAATAATAAGCGTAGGGAGCTGCTGAGTGAGAAAATAGGTGAAAAAAGATTATTAGTTGATAATTGTTCGGTGCATGGAGGTTTATTCTTTTATTTGGTGTATGTTTATATATGTTTAAAATTTCTCTATATAATACGTTGTAAAGAGGAATAGCCATAGGAAATAACTGCTGAAATAGTTCAGTCCATTGTCTCTGGCTTTCTTTCTCCTGAATTTCAGCTTGGCAGAGACAAAGGAAGAAATGATTCATTCATTCATTCATTCATTCAACACTATTCTGTGTGCCTGTGTGTGTACCCTTATAGCACTAGGAATTCTGTAGCCAAAAGCCAGACTGGGTTCTGCTCTCATGAAACTTATATGTTAGTAAAACTAGTGGAAGTAAACAGAATATATATATATATATATATATATATATATATATATACATTACAAAGTACCTTAGAATGAGACCACTGCCCTGGCTCGGGGAAAAGGGAAGGGGATATGGCCTACATGGGGCTGGCATGGTCAAGAAGACCTCACAGAGAAGGTGACCCCTAAGAAAAGCAGTGGAGCGGGAGAGGAAGGAATCAGCCGTGTGGATTTCTTACCGAGTATGTTTTCATATACTAGACCTTAAGGAATACAAGAAGCGTTTTATGTAATTGATCAGTTGAAATTAGTAAGTTGTAGTTATAACCAGTGAGCTCCAATTCAGTTTGGAGACTAGATCTTATAAGGTGATTGAAAATTTTATGTCTTAGACGTATATGTCACAAATTTCCTACATTTTATCTTGTGGTAAGCTTGTAAAATCAAAGATCAGGTGTCGGTAGTGGACAGGACTTTTACAAAGTTTATTTTATGCAACAGATAGATCCCTTAGCAAATAAAAGTAATATGATTGATTTTCCTTATTTTTAGTCATTTTTTCTTAACACTGAAAAAAAGTTTAAAGTTTGCCTTTTATATATGTTTACTCATTTTTTGGGGGGTGGTTCTTTGCATATTATTTAATTTACACAATTAAAACCTTCACTCGGTCTATTTGCTTACTTGGCTTGTTATGGAAACTGTTTTGTTGCATTTAAAATCTTTAATTCCAAAAAATTTGTTTGATCTTGTGACAGAAGACTTGTGTTTGAATACTAGTTGAGGAATAATTCTGGTTATGTGATCCTGAGCAGGTCACAGTAAGTCCCAGTTTCCTCGTAATCAAAAATAAAGCAACTATATCTACCTCTCACAATTCAATGAAATACAGATGGATTTGAAATTGCTAAACTATCATAGCTATACAGATAGTTCGATGTTATAATTATTACTATATAAAAATAACAACAGCAAGAATAATAATAAGCCTTTGCCAAAGGATTTCATTAAGAAAAATTCAAACATGGGGCTTTCATAAAATTACAAAAAGACTTTTTCTGTGTGGACCTTGTCCTCATAGCTTTCCTGAAACCATGGCTTTGTTTTTGAAAAGGAAGGAAATAAACAAAAAGTCTGTTGCCATGTTGGCTTACGTTCTCTGCAAAACAGAAGGATAAAAAACGAAATAGAGTTTGCCAAATGGAAAAGGACAAATCTGGTAGGAGAGGCATGTTATTCTTGAATATATGGAAGATTGTTGGCAAGTTCAAAAGAAAACAGGCATGCCTTTCCCTGGGGTGGCAGGGATGTGATGTGCTAGGGGCTTGGCCCCGCTCTGGCCATATTCGTACCACTTTTAGATATGAGCTATAAAGGAACCCAAAGTAATACAATCATGGAGAAAATTTTGCACTTTTTCCTCTCAGCCATGGTGAAACCTCATGTTGCCAAGTCCAAATTATAGCTGGTAAATGTGTGTTTTTACGGAGAAGTCTGTTTATGTTTCCAGCCAAACTTTCAGGTCATAGCCAAAAGAACGTCTCCTAAGTGTGACTATGAGAATTATAAGATTTTCAGGGCTGGAAGGGACCTTACAGATTATTCCGTCCAGCCCTGGCGCCAGGCATCTAGTTATAGCCTTTTCAAGCAGTTGCGAAATGAATTAATTTTCGGTCTTTGCAAATGGGGAAAATGAGACCCAACAAGGTAGGGATCCTGTAGTTGCTGAGAGAACTCTTACTGAATATGAGAAATCTCAACTCCTGGATTTGTCCTTCTTCTCACTGAACCAAATGGCCTGTGCACGTGCCTTTGCTTTACTTCTGTATCAGCTTGTAGGGCTGTGGTTCAGACAAGGGCGTTACATGCTTTGATTTGGAAAGCCCAGGAGTTTTGCTTGGCTTTCTGAATTTTTGATATATGCGATACACTTTTTTTTCTTTACAAAAGGCAGATAAATACTTACTGTCAGGAATTCTTATTTTGAGAATCTCATTTTTATGGGGAAAAAATGAATCTTCGAAAACAAATGAGGGCTTTGTCTTTTTTTTTTTTTTTTCTGTCGGGATCAGTTTGACTTCGGTGCCTGCGAGGTTTGGAGTGACCACTGAGCAGTCACTTCATTCATTCCTTTATTCTTCATTATAAATTGAATACTTTCTATAAGTCAGGCACATATGCTAGGGATTATAGTCTTAGAATTTGGCATCCTGGGTCTAGTGCCCTGAGTCTCAACCTGGGGACTGTTAGCTTGGTTCTGATCCGATGCTATTGTTGGTGATTTCTTCCTATTTTTCCAGCTAATGGGAAAATATATAGCATTGCGTGGTTTCAAAGGGGAAGAATGTCTCATAGAATTTCAGGTTTGCAAGGAAATTAGAGATCATAACTCAAGTCCCTTTCTTTTGTTTGAATCTGCTGATTTTTGTCAATATAACAAAATATTTATAATATAGTGACTATAATAGGTGAGGCAATGTTGAAGGATAAGGAGATGGATCAGATGTAGTACCTCCAAGTCAAGTTTGGGAGATGCATATATACTCAGCTTTTAAGTGAAGATGTTTCATGGTAAATTTTGCCTTAGTCATCATGCTGTAATCTGAAGCGCAGTCTAAGTTCTATGTTGTGGTGGAGGGTGGGGGGGGGATAAATGTACTATGACTGGAGATCAATAGAACTGAACTTTGGATCACTGGGTAGGACGTTAATTTTCAGGTGGGGAAATAAACTTTTCAGCAATAAAGTAATAATAGAGAAAGGAAAGCATAAAGTAGATGTGATAGGCGTGCCTTTCCAGAAGGGCTGTGGAATTTGCCCTTTATTCTGAAACCATTGACAATGTGTTGCAGGTGTTTGTTATTATTTTAAGTAGAAGGGTGACATCTCCAGATTTGTTGTTGGGATGCCAAGTGGTGCTGTTAACACACCAGAAGGGAAAAATATGTTGCACTTGTGGGAAACCCCATGCAAATAGCTCTGAGTTGTCTGGTAGACTTCCTTGAGCTCCACAGAGACTTATCTGCTCACTCCTCATGGCTTTGAGTTCAGGTGCCTGATATTTAGCTTCCTCTTTTCATGCCATCTTTGCTCGCCTTTTCTTCATGACCGCCCGATGATATCTCCTAACTCTGCTTCTGTCACTGTGCCCCAGTCCTGTGGCTTGCTTTTACTTGACGACTATCCAGTGATTGTATGCTGCCACTTTCCCTCTCTCCTTTTCCACTCATTCAGGCAGGATGGTCTCATTTGCTACTGTAACTCCAACCCTTCCACCTCAGAAAACAGACCATTTTGTACTTTACTGGTTACTCCAGATGTTAAAGACTTCCTTCTCTTATTGAAATGAAATTTGTCCCTTTGTGATTTCCTCACAGTGATTTTCTTCCTACCCTCTTACAAAATGATGCGCATTCACAGGAACTGTCAGGGCGGGAGAGAGAGGTGGTGTCTACCACCATGAGTTGATCAGTAAAACTACAGAAAGAGGTGACGTTGCTGAGGAGAGAGCGAGAACAGTTGAACAGTATGCACTGAACTTCAGGGGAAATGCCCAGAGTTAGCTGAAAACAGAAACAAGGAGAGAAA